CTAAGGCACGAAATTGGAAAAACAACCATGGGCTCCGCACTCGATGAAGGAAAAGTCAAAGAAAAAAACTTTTCCGGAACAAGACAAAACAGATTTAATTTAGAAATTTTAAAAATTTGGTTTCCTCACTAGAAGTGACCGAACGCAAAAAAAATCTTTTCGAAACTTGGATAAAACTAAAAGCGCATAGCATGAGTCGAAAAAACATTTAAAGAGTATGAACATGAAAATATAAACTTGGAAACAAGGCGGAACTGTGGCAAATAAACTCTTTCCCGGAGGAGAACAAAGAACATCAATCTGACGAACAAACTAAGAGAGTTTTGGGAAGAAGTCTTTTCGAATCAAAAGAAAGTTTTTTCTATCGCAGAAGGACCTGTGAACTTCAGAGAACTGAGCTCGAAAAGAGGTTTTTTCCCATATAGGTTACGTTGGCGACGAGTATGACAAGAGGGAGAAGAGAACGCAAACTAAACTGTTGGCATGGATTATTCCACTGGTATGATTGAACTACCGAGTGAATCCAAAATAGAAACAAGATTATATCATAGAGAACTATCAGAAAAAAAACTTTTAAAAACGAAAGATATGAGCTGGATATGAAACTTCAACAAGATGAACAAGGATTTTGTCACTCACATTATATCCTCAATCAACAACCAAAGACGCAAACCCCATGAATGAAATCTAACATCAGGACTTATAGAGTATTTATAAATGGAAGAAGAACACTTAGAACAGTCTTCTATCAGTATACAAAGCTGACGTGATTTAGAGAACACCAAAAGAAACTGAGAACAAGATTTCGATGAAGGAAAAGAGCAGCATGAAGGCATTCAGAAACTCATCAGTACACTGACTGTTCCTGAAGGCAATCAGTAGAGACTGCTCCTGAAGGACAGTGACTGTTCCTGAGTAGGCGCACGAGCCACAAAAGGAATACCGAGGATATGTTCTACCGAGAAAGAGAACTTTCCTTCCGTATTTCAACTATACTTTTTAAACGGAAACATTGAGAGAGTTCGAAGATGGAGAATGAAAAGTCGCTTAAAGAATTGAAAAAAGGGAAAGCAGAAAAAGCACATAAGCGAAAAGAAAATGACTTCCGGCAATCAATACTCATCCCAATTTGAAAATCAGTCAATACCAAGAGGTTATGGACTATTCTCGAACAGAGGAAATCATCTAATCCATAAACCGAACTACAATATCTACAACAGAGGGGAGAGAGAACAGTTAATTTAATGTAAGAGAACCAGGCTCACATAAGATTGAAACGAACAGGGATTAGCATTAGAGCACATTATCAACGTAGGATCTCGAAAATACTTTCTGAAGAACTAGTTCGTGTAAAAATCATGAGAAGTTAATTTATATATCAAACGACTGGAAATTACGAGTGTAATGAGCTTGCAGCTCTATCATTTCCACGTCAAAAAGACACGACCGCTCGGCTATTTATTTTACGTGAAAATGAAACATGGGAACAGCCGCTTAACAAAAAAATTTCAAGCGGAATGAAACAAGCACAATCGTACCATGGTCATTTGAGATCGAAAAGTTTAAGTGATAAATTTCATTTTCATTTTAACGCTTCAGTAAGCGGTGTCCAAAGACAACAGCGTCACAACATGTAATTTGAACATCAACAAATGAGCCGTGAAGGGGTACTGCTATTTACAAGTTCTTCTTAGTATGATATCAGAATAGATTGGAGGTTTTACCCTTCAACGCATAGAAAGTTAGCCATGTGATTATTCATATGCATGAATTCGTTTGTGACACCCCTGTGATACTATTGATCCCTTTTCTTTTTGAGATTTCTAAACTAACAGAACTCACAAGGGTAGACTGAGAGTGATGGATCATTATGTAACTATTATGAACATCTTGTCTACATTTGGTTTTTTCATTCTAATAGCATCACTCTATCTCATTGTCTTCGGTATATCAAAACTTAACTACATATCTCTCTTTGCCATACATGGACATGAACTATCGTGAGTTTTCATCCTAACTTATTCACAAATGAATTCTACGTTACAGAGTGGGAATATGCCAACTGTGCATGACGTTAGGAGTAGTTCCAACATTTGAATTCCCATGCGCCGCTGGATATACTAATGGCTTGTTCAATCGGCTTGGATTCATGAGTACATTGGCACAAGCATTCATTCAAATCCTCTTGTTAGTTGGTAATTCATATACTTCTTCTTCTTTTCTTAAAGAAATTAACAGTAGCAGGATGGTTTGTTGCTCTGATCTCAATAATCAGAGTCTTCGCTGTATCAATCAAGTTGCAAGAGAAAACTAAAAAAATAATTTTATACAGTCACATGCTCCATCTGTCAACTCAACTCCTCTTATTTGTCTATATAATGATACAAATTACAAACTCAGAAGAAGAAGGTCTTAGGGATTGTTTAAAAGTCGGAACATTCTGATTCTGTCACATCAGCATCTTGTTCAGATGAAAGATAATAAGATATCGCCAGAAATGTACACACAGCATGCGTTTTTCATTCTGATTGGCAAACACAAAATAGTTTATTTCCTCTATTTTGATATACTGTTCATCGCTTCGGTGTTTGCTGGCATTGCGGGAGTTTGCGGAATAGAACTAATTCAGAGCTTGAGAAAGCAGAAAGCAGCTTCTAAATCTCCTAAAGCCAGCAAAATTCAACGACATCTCACTTTTGCAATTCTCGGCTTGGTAAGAGAGAGTACGAGTCCCTGACTTTCGAATTTTCAAGATCGCTACTAATGTTATTGGTATTGCGCTCCCCTCCACTTGTATAATGCTATGTGCATCATTAAATTTAGGCTCACCTAGTAAGTTAATACTGATGACACCTGAATGACAAACTTTCAGTTTACTCTCAAATATCTTTCGTGATCATGAGCATTTATCCGTTCTTTGGATGTCTCTTCGTTTGGATGGCGACTCCAACCTTCAGAACAAAGCTTATGAGAATAACGGGTATCGGTAGGTTAGAAGAGTTTTAATCAAAATTCCCATTACAGTACTTCCTAACTGCATCTTGAGCAAAGACACTATCCGAATTCACATTTTGCGTTCAAAACCAACTTCCCAAAATCTAACGAATCACTTCATGAATAATGCCGCCATGCCGTCCGCAATAACCAGAAACCAAGCACTTCCAGGGTGAATTTGATATGATATTGTCGTTAACAATTGATTAACTAATGATAAATGAAGAATTTAGATGAAATTTATTAACAATCTTAAAAATGAAACGAGAAGTTCGCTCACCCCTAGGATGATCTTTCTTGCAGAATTCATAATACGTTTTCGATAGGATCATTGAGAGAAAGGACACGGAGCGTTCTGTCTTTTTTGCTTCTTCAAGTTTCAATTTCCAAGTAATTTTTATTTATAATACCCGATATGAGAGCAAGCAGTTATACTTCGTAATTCTTATTCGAGTGATGTAATTATTAATGATCTGTGCTGAAGCAAGATTAATTCCCTAAAACTGTTGGAGGAATCATTGGCGGGGGCACTGAAAGATTTGGTGGTGGGATAGGGGGAGGTATTCCTGGAGGTACTAATGCAGATTGAGGTCCAGTGGGTGGAGGAGCACTGAAAATAGGAGGAGGGGCAGTGAATAACGGCGGAGGAGGTAGAGATGGGTGTGGAGCTAAAACTTTTTTATTATCCTTCAAGTGTTCAAGCAACATCCAGCATGGTATCGGCATCTGAAATCAGTTTACTACTTGACAGGAAGATATCACAAGAAAATACCGCAGGGCTAAGAACTGGCTTAATATGAGGTGGTGCAGCTCTGAGACCCCATCGTTGGTAAGCAGCATCCTGAATGATTTAAAGTTACGAAAAACATGATTAAAGAATGATCACTTTGGAATCGAATGTTATTTTATTATTTCCCCATAGGTCATTAATGGGGAAGCCTAAATGAGGGAGTTGAGCTTGAGGTGCTGCTGGAACGATGAAGACATTAGTACTGAATACCAAAAAAGAAGTTAGATACCTGCAGCACTTATGGTAGTTACATCCCTTAACGTTTCTTGTTTGATTTCTAGAACAAGACGATGAACAAAGCAATGTAATAATCACAAACCTGTCACTTGCTGAGCACTGACGAAATAGTTTTGTACAGGAGGCTGAATCTGAGAAACTACGAGTTGTAATCTGATAGTATTAACATACCTGATACATAGAAGGAACTTGGCGTTGTTCCGATTCTATAGCTGCTTGATGATGAGCTAAATACTGCTGTTGGGAGAGCCGGTAAGCTTCAGCTGCCTCAGCTATACGAACACAATTAACAAAATGTTCTAGGAAACATATATACCTTCTTTTTCTTTCTGAGCTCTTCTCTCTTCTTCCTCTTCTTCTGCTTTTACCCGAGCGTCTATAGCTTCTCTTTCTGACTATAAGAATATCTTGGTGAAAAATGAAATGAACTAGCAACACGAACCTTATCACGAAGAAATTTCCTCCTTTTTTCAACATCCCGTTCCCAACTTTCGAATTGAGATACATAATTATTATAAGCTTCTGATCCGATCGAACTTCTAGAATAGTATTCGTACAATGATAAATTATAAGTAAAGAGCTGGACTCACATGTTTTTTTCCTTCCATTCCTCAAACTGCGTCTTGTACTCTTTGTATTGTTGTTCTAGTTCAGCTTCGGGATCGACCTTAACAAAGAAATAGCAAATGATAGCTGATGTTTATCTTACCGCCTTCTTCATTTTTTAAAATGAAATATAAAATAAGCTTGAGCTTGACTAAAGACTACGGCTCAACATATTGAGAAACTTGACGCGGTCGTGCTTTATATAAACCACGCAACTTTGCGTACCCCCAAAAATAAGTTTGCCATGAGCGTTATGCTGTTATTATAGAAGTGCTATTGGCAAACAACCCAGTTGGACAACACTATATATACTTCATCATAGTATAAGAAGTTTGTACAAAGCTTCGGATATATAACTTCTTCTTTTGCATCTTAGGACTACTGTGAAATTCATATTGACTAGAAGACCGCAAAGAGGTTGCAGTCAATTCATACATTATTCTATCTTACATGTTTCTCATCTGAAATCTACACATAATATATCAATCAAAAATGAAATTAACATTTCATGAGTCTCAAAGATAACAAATATGATGTGGATAGAGACTACTTGATAGGTATGGTCGCCAGAGAAACGGTTAAGTAAGAAACACAGATGAAATGGCCAAACATTCTTGTACAATATGACAGGCTTAGATGAATATTTAAAAATGAACAAACAAGATTTATTATTGGGATAATAGGCTAAACGAAAACTGAAGTAGCATACCTTATAAGGAGAGCAACGAGCTCTGTTCAATAGGTTGATAGTCCGAGATTCTAGCGGATAGTTAATGTGTTCGTTCCACGTGTTGAATGATATTTATACAACTGCGTACTGTATACTAGAGTTAGTGAAGTTGTTCTCTGTTTCCAGCTTGAGATAAGCTTCCAAACACAAAAAAAATCATCCAATGCGGATCATTTACCCAAAACTGTGTTTCGAACGGTCCCACCGCACCGCTAATTCGAGCTGCTCAATGAGAATGACTCCAATGTTCCTATTTTCCAAACAAGGAGTCAATGTTGCGGTGTCTACACTTTTCCATATTGTTACTTCCGTGTTAGTCGACTGTTAATGTGCTACAACCTCACATGGAATTAACAACCGTGCGACAGTGTCATTTTCGCATAGGAATAGGAGAACAAGCACATTATAGCTTATAATGTCTTTCACAAGCTGCCTGTGATTGAAGTATTCTACGAACTGGCGAATTCGATCTTCTCGAATAGTTTTCGAAACCTATTACCCTGATAACGCGCTCTAGTGTAAATGACTTTTTGAAAGACATTGTAGTTCCATTTATGGATTTGAACAAACAACAACAGCAGCGGAAACTACATATCTCGAGAAAAAAAAGAGAATCATTTCAATTATTTCGAAAAGATATCGACATTTCATGAAACTTTATTTCAGTTAAAGAAGTTAGATACTTTGAGGGATAGGGCTCCACGGCCAGAAATGTTGCTCCGCGAATACGATAGATTATACAACAAAGAACACTTGAAAAGGTAACTTTCAGATCTTCCAAAAAAAATAAAGAAAAGTTCGTTCCTTTCACGGAATTTGAAATGGTACTGACTTTGATGAAAAATATATGAAAAGAAGAACGTTGAGTCTGTTCCACCGGGGATTGGGAAGGACAGTGCGAGAGTTTACATTAATGATAAACATATTTTACAATTAACAGGACGTGTTAGACAATCAAAGACTTTGAAAGGTGAAATGGGTACATATATAAGGATCTGGGATGTACACGTTAGGAAGAGAAGAACAGTACGTGAGAAAGGAGATAGAACAGGGAATTGAAGCTTTCTGTTTTCATTACATTTGATAAGAATATTGAGAGTAGAAGATGTCGTTTAACAACTTTAGGTCGGACACAGATTGACTATTCAACTAGTTTGATATTGAGAAGTAATATACGATAAACAAGCGGGAGTTAATATGTGAAATGAGGATTCACAAAAGAGAAACCACGGAATTCATCTTGATTGATTGCCCTCACCACATTCATGTCTGTTGGTGTTAACACGGGCTCCTCTTTGGTGAAATCAGCATCGAAATTATTGACATCACGTTTTGATTTCTAAAGAACAGTCATGTAACGAGATAGTTGAATAGTTCACTTACAATTTTAGGTTTGAATGGCGGTTTGACCTGTCTAGTTTCTAAGGCATCCCAGTCAATTTCACGGAAGAATGGATGAGCACGAATAGCATCTTCTCCTCCTTGAGATTGAACACATCCAAGACGTTTACTAGGATTTTTGGTCATGAACTGAAAATACAGGAGTGATACTGATAGAAATATACAAACATACAGCTTTGAGAATATTTACAGCTTCTTTAGATAACCACACTGGATAGAGAACATCATCGTTGAGAATTGCCTGAAAGGAGACAGATGATTCAATTGTCCTACAAATGAGTTTACTTCAAAAAGATCATCCTCGTTATCAGCTTCAAACGGTGGTTGTCCAGCCATCATTTCATACATCAGAACTCCTAGTGCCCACCAATCAACTGAAACTCCATATTCGAGTTCTTGAAGAATTTCTGGAGCTATGTAGTCGGGAGTTCCTGCAATCACATTCATTATATTGTTTGAGAAAACACTCTACAAACCACAAAATGTGCTTGTGAGTTTCTCTTTTGTAATTCCTTCCTTGCACATTCCAAAATCAGCTAAGCGACAATGTCCTTCGGCATCAAGTAAAATATTATCTAGTTTCAAATCCCTGAAAGCAAAGATTACAATACATGAACAACTAATCAACAAGTATATTACCTATAAATAACTTCATTACGATGCAAAAATTGTAAGGCACATGTAACTTCAGCTGCATAAAAACGAGCTCGACTCTCATCAAACTTTCGTGCCCTTTGAATTTGGAACATCAAATCTCCTCCATTCACATATTCCATTACGAAAAACAATCGATCCTAAAAAGGAAATTGGTCATAATCGTCATATAGTGCATATCTAGTTTGATTATATTAGTAAGCCTTACAGGTGTTTGGAAGCTGCTGTGTAGAGCAGTCAAGAATGGATGCTTTGCTGCCAGAGATAGAATTCTCTTCTCGCACATTGTACATTCAACATCATCATCTTGAACTATGACATCTTTCTTCAAGATTTTGATGGCGAACACTTCGTCTGTGCCTTTTCTCTCGGCCAACATGACCTATAAGAGCTTTTGATCAAAAAGTAGATTGAGATGTCTGATACCTTTCCGAAAGAACCCTTTCCAAGTACTTTGATGAATGAAAAATCGGATATTGAGAGAGTTGCGTTATTACCAACTGGAGCTGAAGAAGATTTGTGTGTCTCATCTTCGGAAATTTGGGTGAGGAAAGCTGAAAAGAAGTTTCATTGTTGTAAAAATACGGTTATGTGTTTACTTCTGTTAGTTTCTACAGAGCTAACTGACTGTTCTGAACTGCTTTCTGTTAATATGGACGGCTGCAAAGATATCATGAGACATGAACCTGAGATCTCTCTCTTACCCTCTTCTTCGATCGTATACTCATCTTATCACCAGTAAGTCCGAGCTGAGCCAGCTCAGCAGCCATTTGTTTAGCATTAATTCCACAGTTATTAGCGACATTACGTTGACATCTGAAGAAGGAGGTTGAACGATTGAACATTAAGATGTTCGAATACCTTTTATGAACATTTAATTTGCACTGCGAGCATTGTAATCCTTGATTTATAAGCCCGTATAACATAGATCCGCAATGATCACAGAAAGTTGGTCGTTTATAGGAATGTACAGAGAAACGATGAGGAATATTTATATTGAATCGACCAGCGCTCTGAAACAGAAAAGTTCTCTTTTAATATTAAAAAAAGTAATTTCCACAGAAGGAAATGTGGCACGAGGTGATGATGATGTGATGACGTGCATAGGTGAAAGGAGAAGGACAGGTAATTACTTACTTCAGCAGCTTCTTTACTAATTTCGTCTATGAAATCACTACGATTGCCAGGACACTTCCAGAGAACTTCTTCATGACATCTTTTATGAACTACGACTGTACAAACTGTAAAAGGGGATATCTCATTGTGATTACAGAAGCCATTGCTTTCTCTTTCTTTAGAGTCTGACTCTTATCACCATCTATACAACCATTTTGAACGGTTTTTTTTGTGATTCAAAATTTGTATGTCAACAACAAGGCACTTACTTTGACATTGATAACCCTGTTTGCCTATTCCCCATATGAATTCCTTGCAATGAGCACAAAACGTTGGCTGTCGCAAGAAAAGTGCCATAAACTTATGTCCTGTCACCTATAAACAGTATTTGAAGTTATTCATCATTCTGCTCATCAACCATTTCTTTTTTTATTATTTTTCTTTCTCATCTTCTTCATGTTCATATTTTTTGAACATTTTTCTTTGAATTATGAAACTGACCTCATGAATCTTTCTTCGCATAGCTCCACGACGTTGTCGATCATGGAAAGCATTTGTACGTTCTTTGAAAACTCGTTCCTTGTTTCCATGATGAGTATCTGAAATGAAAACAACAGTTAGAAATCAATATAATGAATCGAAGCTTCATCAATTTCTCGTCTCATTTCACCTATTCCCGACTTTTGCTCTCTTTTTTTTCTCAGCAAAACCGCTTCACATGCACACTTGATTTGGAAGGAATGAGCAGTGAGGAAAAGAGGGAGAGGGGGGGGGGATAATTTCGAACGAGAAAATACGACGAGGAACTTTACTTTCTCGCGTCCTAATCTATTCCGAAAGGAACTAATCTCACGGCAATTTTTTTTCTTCAATGAAAGCCCAAAATTCATCCAGAAAATTAAATGAAACATTAATTTCGCCGTTATATTCAAATGTGACTTCCAAATGTATTTCTAATACTTCTATCAGCCATTATATATCCATATCTATCTATATATATACATAGACAAGCTTTTTCGTTATCTACTTGAACATCCCATATAAGCCTTGTCCAAAAACTTTCAAAACAAATTCTGATTGGAAATTTATCCAAATTTCCTCTTCCAACCTGCATTCATTTCCTCTCGGTATCCATCTCATCAAAACCTTCATAGCCTCATTCTCTCATCATTTCATTGTTTCTCCATCATTTATATATCTGTATATAAGCCGTAAATGAGCATGAATGGGAGATCGAGATGTTCTAACCCTCTACCGTAGATGGGAATAATCCTCATGACCGACCATTTTACCTTAGCCTCGAACGCCCATCTGTCCTTTCATTTGGCAATTGGGTGCATAATCCCTATTGAATTTTTATTTTCTCTTTTTATTTTTTGTTTGCTCCAGAGAGAAAAGCTGTTGTCGCATATTTTGATATTCGATTAGCTTTCATCTGATCTTATGAGTTTATGGCAAGTTTGAAAATCAAAAGATTAGAAAAGACGGTTTGCTCATTCACGACCTTCGATTAGTCAGCGCGAATGAGAAGATAGATGTCGCGAGATAAAGAGTTGATAAGCTCAGACACGTCATTATTCACGAATGCCTTCAATATTCAGTTACTATTTATATTTTAATTTTCACTCACATTCGCTTCTCCTCCCTCACCTTCATCTCTCTTTTCGTTAATTCCTTTTTAAGCTTAAAATATATATTCTCGTGTGAATGAACTGGGTGCTTTTATTTTTTATTGGTTACCATGGTAACCTTCTATCTATCAAACCTCAATGTTGTAATGAACAAAAGTTTTCTTTGTCATAACATTCAACCATATGCATTTCTTATTTCATGTCCTCTAGTTCAGATATCAACGCAATGAAATGAGACATCGAGAACGATGGAAACTGATTTTACTGTTTTCTGTCTGTTTCATTGTTTGTCTCATTATTCTCACTAGTGGTTCATATCCATTCTATTCGGTAGATGGGGTATCAATACTCATGAGTCTGCTTCTTATTCATAATCATACTTATTCAGTTGAGACAGTATAGACGGAAAGATGGCTGTGATGTTCCTCATCTGAATGCATGGGATCCAAGCATTTCTCAGTTCATCAAACAATGGCCACCATTGAAATGTCGTCAGACGCAATATGATTTATCAGATTATACTGCTAATGTGAGTTGGTTATAAATGAATCCTTACCGATTCATTATGCTTTCAGGGAACACTCTACTTACGAAATGATCAAATAAAGCTCTTAGATCTTTCAATAGAATGCAACTATCGATGTTATCATAAACAAACGGGTACAGATGATTATCTGGCATATGATGATTGGATTGAATTGAAGGTTCGTTCCGACCATCCATGTTTTAACATTACATAAGCTTATTCTAATCATTTGAATAACAAACGATCAATTCATTTGTTTCCATTTTCAGCAACCTGTTCAACTGCAATGTGAATTCGTTGAAGTTCAATGCAGACGGACAGTATTACCACATAATACTATTTATAGTAATAATCATAATCGTATTGTCGTTAACGAACATAAGAAGATGGATGAAGCACAGTTCAAGCCGAATGTCATCATATTCGTATTGGACAGCGTATCTCATTCAAATTTCAAGCGATCTCTACCAAAATCATTAGATGTATAAAACATGGTATATACAAGCCTTTTTATATAAATGATTGCAGGTCTTAAAGAAAACTTATAAATCTCATATATTCAATGGAATGACCAAAGTAGGAGATCAATCTTATCCGAATGCTGTTGCTTTTCTCGCAGGTATATGACCAAGCTTATTATATTCTCCATATATGTATACGATTATTGAAGGCAAAACAGAAAATGAATTCGGTGCATCAGACGGTTTTTATGATAACCATTCGTTGATATGGAAAACATTTGATGAAGCTGTAAGTCTATAGCCATTTGCCGGATGAGAGAAAGCTTACACAAATCATTCATTCAGCATTATACAACATATTATGCAGAAGATTATCCCGGGTTTAATCTATTTTATTACTTAGCTAAAGGTTTTCAACAAAAGCCTGTTGATCATTACTTCAGGTATATACATATTCATACTTATATTCTGAAGATCATTATTGTTTAAGACCATTCTGGTTGAATGTCTATGGGTCATATGTACATCGTAGTAGTACTAATCTCTGCTATGGCAATACTCCAATGCATCAATTGCAGCTAGACTATCTATCTCAGTTCATTAAAGGATATCATAGTATTTGCAATTACACATAAGGAAGTTCTATAAATGGATATCTTCAGATAAATCCCCAATATTTGCATTGAATTGGCTTACAGAGCTTGGACATGACTATATGAATCAAGTTTCTATCGGCGATGAGGACATAGCTCACTTTCTTCAAAGCCATTACGAGCATTTAAAGGTTTAGTTTCAAACAACCAAACATACACATTCAACATTTTTCGTGTCTCAGGATTCATTTGTGTTTGTATTATCCGATCATGGACATCGCTTTGATGCAATCAGAGAAACAGCTGTAGGGCGAATAGAAGAACGTCTGCCCTTTTTCAGTTTACACATTCCTCAGATTCTGAGAGAGAAGTATCCGCATTTGGATTCCATTGTAGAAAAGAATGTCAAAGTTAGAGCCATTCATCTATTCATCCATCGTTTCCCCATTGCAGCTTTTAACTACTTTTTGGGATTTCCATGTAACATTACGGGACATCATTGATTTTTCATCTCATCAAAGCTGGCATAAATTAGCTGATAACAATTTGACAGCCTTAGGAGAAGCTGACAAACGTTGGAGAACATACTCTAACAGGGGCAGAAGCTTGCTTCATCCATTACCAGTATGTTTTTTTCATACATGAATTCATCAAAGTGCATCAGATGGATATGAGTTTAATGCCATTCGTTCAGGATCGAACATGTGTAGAAGCTGCTGTGCCAGAAGAGTATTGCGTATGTAATATCGAAAAGCCCATATCTGCTGCTGATGACAAAGTGAGAATCTTATCATATAATTAATAATAATAATATGTATAGTTAATTTCCTTTTATAGATCCGTATGTCTGCTGACGTAATCATGAAGCATATCAATGATATGTTGAAGCCATATCCCCAATGCTCCCAACTGACAATTGAATATATAGTTAATGCTTATCAAACCTTGTTTGATAGCTCTCAACAATCACATACATTCAAATATCGTTTGATGTTGAAAGTTCAGCCATCGGAAGCTTTATTTGAGAGCTTAGTATCATATGATTCAAACAATCAAATTACCGTATTAGGAGATGTTAATCGTATAAATCGATATGGTAATCAGTCAATCTGCGTTGATGAACGTCAAGAACTTCGAAAATTCTGTTTCTGCTCATCTTGATTATCATAAACAACACATATATGCGTAATAAAGTTTATAAATTATAACATTTCAATTAGAGAGCGAGCAGTCAGTTAGGATATGCCATTCCAACCCCGACAAACAGATTTCAAACTTTTCAGAAGCTTAAGTCATTACGTGAATGTGCAAGAACCGTTAAGCTATTGCATAGTAAGCTGACATTTCATGTCTATTTATATATTTATAATATGTTTATAGTAATAAACTACTCATATTATATGTATATGAAAGAGGAAAAGCATGAGGATATTCAGCTTGAAAGGTGGGAGGGGGAGGAAGAGAGATGTATAAGGTGTGAGCTGCTCTTCTTGTACAACCAAACACTTGATACAAATCAAATTCCTTATTCAAATATTCCATAATGAAGATGCGAATGCACAAACGTTCGTTCATTTCGCTCCAATTCATCAGACTCGAAAGTGAGTATGCTTCGAATAAGCATATGGAAATGCTCTTTTCACACTGAATGACGTGCATTTCATGTAGAAAAAGAAAAACACAGACACAGCCAGTCAAAAGAGTTACACATGAGTTTGAAGCTTTTCATATGCAAGTTATATGAAAGCGGAAAAAAAAACGAAATGTGCTATAGAGAGAAAGTAAAGAGATATGTAGAGAGAGAGAGGGAGAGAGAGAGAGAGTGAGAGAAGGAGAGGAGAGAAACAAAATATCTTTACAACTCTTGTTAGTCGACACAAAGAACGAGAAATAACTGTTGATTATTCTATTCAAATGGATTCCATCAGAACAACTTGCTGCTTTCATTCACATAAGCATAGTCAGATTAAACTCATTACTAACTATGCGTGTTAGTCGATAACATGCCAATACTCACACACATAACAGAAAAAGATCCCCCAAATGGCATGAACTTGAAGCTTGTGCTTGAATTCTCTTTTATACAATCGAATCAACACAATCGTAGTTCTAACCAACCCACATGCATCATCTTAGATAACCAAAAATCTTTTAAAACCTTTTCATCTGTTCATTTAGTTATGAATTCTATTAATACCTAACACCTCCTCTCGCAAGCTCATTGATAATTAACAAATTGAATAATGACTCTTGACGAGACGAAAATGAAATGAGCGTACCTTCAACGGAACTTCCATGAAGCTCCAGAGCAATATGAAGTTGTCCATGTGGTTCCAAATCAACCTGTAACATACAAACATTGTATTTATCATATCAAACAGATTTATACCCAAATTTCGTTATTCGAACCAATTTTCAATTCATCAAATGGTATCCGACAGTTGGCAACGAAATCATCCGGTGGCATAACGCAATTGTGGAAGACCGTAAAGCCGACCGCTCTCCCAGAGTGTACATCATTCTGAAAAAAAAAGAAAATAAAATAATTAACTAATCAATAATTAATTATATCAACAATACAACCGCTATTCATGAAAATTCAATATGAAAATGATTTGAAATGACACACGTGTGTATTGCCACGAATCAAATGACGCGCGATATGAGGGCCACGTGAAATTAGCATATTAAAGCGTCATAATTTGAATAGCTAACGTATGCACGTGCATGTATGATCACCATGTGAAGTAGAGATTAACGAATAAACGAAATATTCAAATATTTTGGTATCTATCTATCTATATATGTTTGATAGTAAAAACAAATTGATGAGATGATGATGATGATGATGATGATGAAGGACAAGATGCTACGCATTCCAAGAACTATCATAGGATTAGAAGCTATAGCATATGTGATTACACGTCATATTAACGTTAACCATTTTATTTAAATAAATTATTAAATGATATATGATATAAGACTTACAGCAACAAATTCTTCATTCCATTTTGGCTCATTCGTTTTCGTCCTTACGCTTGTCTTTCCAACATGAAATTCGTCCCAATCCACATTGATGTATGCATCAATAGCTGCCTTCAAATATTATAATTTTTAATTAACTATATATATATATATATAAATATTATAAAAATATTATTTTGAAAGAGAGAGAGAGAGATTTGGTGAGGAGATGTTTGAATGTTTGCTTGCTCTCTTTAACATTATGTATTTCTCATTTAAGCTTTATGTAGCACGATTAAAGCTTTACTAAGTCATGTACAAATTGCAACCTAACGCCTTATAAGCTTATTCGTCACGTGATAATAGCCAATTAGTCTGTGATTGCCTTAGTTAAGACACAGCAGAAGCTCATGAGGAAACGATCTGTCTGTGATAGATCGTTTGCAGGAAACGAGAATGAAAACGGAACTAGCTTACAAACTCTTCTTCCCCCCCCCCACCCCAACAACTTGAGCTTAATCATACGCTCTCTCTTCTTCTTCGCCTTTTTTTTTGGTTCTCAAACATGAACTTCAGATCATCAAGCTTAATTTAATTTGTACGACTTTTACTGAAAACAAACCAAAAGAGGAAAAGTCAAAGACAAAGACAGAGAGAGAGAACAGAGTGAGAGATGAGAATATCAAAAATTCTTTTAAAACTTTCAACAAAAATTTTTTCCCAAAACACATTCCGAAAAAAAAATTTCTCTCAGAAATGGGCTCACACGTCAATTAGCTGGGCTATAGAGAATTTGGACAATAAAAAATATATCAAAAGCAACAAGCCAAAGATGAGGATAACGAAGACTACGAAGATGCAGAAGTAGTAGAAGAAGATGAAGTAGAAGCTTATGGCATCGTCGAGTTGATCGAAGCTTTCTGATCAGGAGTCGCAACATGTAGTGTTCGCTCCCTTCCCAATCATATTCTAACGACTTAACCAGCATTGCATTCGAATTACATAGGAAATACCTCTCTCTCTCTCTCTCTCTCTCGTTTTGATTCTTCACCCTCTCTCTTTCACTTCCACATTTGTACAAATCTATACATGACAAAAAATTTGAATAAAACTTTAAACAAACCGTATCATTCTGTGTGAACCGACGAGACCATTCGGTGGGACGAAGTCCACGAGCCTCCAACACTCGGATACGCAGCGTTCCAGTGAATAACATTACGGGCACATCTGATGCACTTAAAAAATAATATTTAAAAAAAAAATAAAACAAAAAAAAAGAGAGTCAAAAACATTGAAGAGTGAAAGCATGTGAAGACTAAAAAAAGAGAAGCTCAAGCTACTTATACTAGAAATTCTTTTTAGTTCATTCACAATACACAGAAACTAACAATGAACAGGCTGGGGCGGAGGAAAGACTGGGGAGGAGTTAACAGGTGAATGAAGGTTAATACACAAACACAAGAAAACAACAGTTCACATGAAATTCTATGATAAACTGTGTGAAAACGATAATATTTCACTACTATATAAGTATTTAAACAAATTAGAATGAGAAATGCTTTCACTTTCTATGAAGATGCCAACTACGACGACAACACACAATGCCATAGTTAGCAGCTCCGTAATGTGCAGACAGAGCTTATCAGTTGTTTCACTCGCTTCTGACACACTTTAGAAGATATTTTTTTGCTTATTCTGAACATGTTCCAAATGCTTCAAAGTTCGTGAGAAGCTGAAAGAAGTGAATCTCGGGAATTGGGAGGAGTGCAGTTAGGCTGTGACTCGTTGTGTCATTGTGCGGACGCTCGGACTGAAGACGAGGCCAATCAAAGACCCAGAAAACGAAGCTAATCGAACAGAGAAGAAAATATACATTTAGAGAGAGAGAGAAAGAGAAAGAGAAGGGGAGGGTAGTCGAAAACGTGTGAGCATGAAGGGAAGGAAGTGTAAGAAAGGTAAAAAAATGAAAAACCAAAAGTGAATATGACAACAGAGAGATAGAGAGAGAGTGAGATGTCTCTTTCAAAATCTTTTTCACCGGAGGAAATAGGCAGTGGCAGGTAAAATAAGTAAAAAGTGATGTAATTTAGATAGAAAATAAATGAATAAAAAAGAAATGAAAAAGATGAGGTGAAGAAGAGAGAGGGACGTGAATGATGATGAAAGTAGAAAGGAAGGAAAAAGATATTCATATGAGGTACTAGAATGGAAGCCATGTGATTTATAAGGATGCTGCTTGTGGAACTTGACACACAACAAGCGGACCAAAGCAAATTTAGCCCAGAAAGATTCACATAACAATTGCCATTACGAAGAAAATACAAGAGCTTCCCAAAGTTACATATTCATGTGTTGATCAATGACATTCAGCTAAGAAAACAAAATATCTTATCAGAAGGAGGAAGGGAGAAGAGGGGGGGGGGGGGTGGGGGTGGGGGGGGGAAGATGGAGGCTAAGAATAAGAAGAAGGGAGATGACATAGGATGAATAGAAAATAGAAAATCATCAGAGATTTTCCATTCTTCTAGAAAAAAACCGATAGGGCTATGGGAAAGATTTTACGTCAAAACACGTATTCTTCGGCCAACATTTTCTAAGAGCAAGGAAAGGAAGAAGAGATGAGAATAAGCAAAGGATAGAGGGACAGAAGAAGAGATAGAGAGAGGGAGTGAAAGAGAGATTTAATTCCAAAATATGTCGGCAGATCCTTCTTTCAACTCATTTATTAATTTATCTTCAATAAGTCAATAAGCTTCTGGCCTAATGCCCAGATGAAAATAGGTGAGAGTGACGTTAACTTCATCGATAATTCATGACTACAACGAGCTTCATGCATCATGGAAACGAAAAACGAGGCGGAACCATCTAGTGGTTACTACCATTCAACACAATTGCTGAAGGAAGCACAAAATTCCCAAACATTTGGTAAATTGTTCCAAAGGAATCAAGATGACTTGATATATTCGACTTAGAAGTGAATAGAAGATGATCATAAATGTCTCATTGGTGATTAGTAACTGAGAAGAAGGTTAAGGATGATGGGAAGAAGGAAGAATGAAGTAGTGAGAGGGAAGAATATATATATAGAGAGAGGAGGGCTGAAAGGAAGAGAGGGAGAGAGAGAGGAGGAGAGAATGGAAGAGAAGTGTCATCATACAAACCAATTTTCATCATTTCCGCTTTTCCTTAATTTTCCATCTAATTTCTTTCCATAAAAAGACGAAAACTGTGTGTTAGAAACGAAATAAACAAAAAAATGATTTTATCAGCTTCTCATGGGACGAAAAGCTGACAAATAAGAAAATAATATGCAATGAATCTGAGACGAATGGAAGGAAGGACGAAAGGAAGGAGAGAGAGAGGGAGAGAGGGAGGGGGACACATGGCTTCTCTTTAAGCTATCTTCTAACTCTTCGAGTAAATAACAACTTGAAACAGGACAACTCAATTGAACTTTTCGCGACAATAAAATAGAAAAATGAGCAATAGAACCATGCATAGACAGAGAGAGAGAGATAGAGAGAGAGAGATGGGACAACTTACCAGATAAAGAGGGAGAAAGAAAGAGAGTCAAAATACAGTACTCCTATCTTAACTATTCGTATAGTTAAGCTTATAACAGTGATATTTTATTTTTTATCGCAAAATAATCTCATCAGCCCTCTGAACGTGGTCAGAATTTTTTCAGAAAAAATGCCGAACGAGACAGATTTACAATTTCTTCAAATAGTTTGCCACCCACCCCACCTACTAGTTATGAAGAACAAGAAAGCTGAAGACTACTCAATCGGTAGCTTTTCACGTTATGCTTTGAAGGATGACCACACACATAACTAAAGGATGACGAAAAGAAAGAAGAGTAGGACAATGGAAGGTAGACTGAATGATAGGTATGAGTAGAAGGAAACAATACAAATACTTATTTAATGGCTTGTTGACCAATCAACATCATGCCAATGAGATGTACACAACACACGTGTGTCTTCACACCTCAGAAATATTTGACAAATGTTGAAAATTTAAAAAATTCCAAGAAGAATAACATAGAGTGTGTATGAAAGAGAGAGAGATAGAAAGAGGAAGAGATGGAAAAATGATTTTTTTTGTTCACACGAATGACATGCTTACACATCAGCGATGAATAAGTTTTTCGAGAAAAAAGTTTAAAAAATCAAAATAATCGACGTCATTAGATGGAGGAGGAGAAGAAGAAGCAAAAAATGAAATAATTGATGAGACGACGATTGGGTGTCTGCATGTGTGTGTGTATGTGTGTGAGTGTGTGTGTGTGTGTGGCAGAAAAAATGTTTTGATTTGGAGGAACAAATGATTGAGAAGACGAGAGAGTCAAAAATGAATTTCAAACTTCTATCTGTCAAACTTGGAAATAAAATATTCAAATGGAAAAGATTAAAAAAAGAAAAAGAGAGAGAGAGAGAAGAGTAGTACGTGAGGAAGAGAGGGATTGGTAGAGTTTGTGAGAGGCAAGTAAACCAGTTGTTTTGAGAGTTGAGAGAGAGTTGAGATAATACTGTGACAATCAGACCAAATTTTCTCTTCTGCAGATGAAACAGTCACACTCAGCATTTCGGAGAAAAGTGCTGATGAGCAGTGAGAAAGAGGAATCATGTCACTTTTCAACATGACCTGCCGCATTCAACAGGGAGATGAGTAAGGAAAAACTGATGATGAAAATTGATTGTATGGCCAAAAGCATCACCATCACTACCAAAAGCAGCTGAAGCAGTATCAGAGCACACACACACACGCATATCCGAAAAAAAAGCATGATACGGAAAGTTAGAAAGAGAGACGAATAGAGAGGGCGGAGGGAAATGTGGAATGCAACAGAAGCGACTTATCGACGACATTACCGACACAGGAAACAGAAGCGAAGTTTCCGACGAAAAAGAAGCAGAGTCAGCCATAGAAAAGAAAAACAAGATTATGGTAACAACATTATGGGCGTTGTCTTGGAAGTCGACCCCAGCTCCAAGCTTAGTGCGTTTCGTATTTTTTCATATTTCTGTGATTGTCCAATTCAGAAGATGATCAGTCTTATGCGAACAGGCAAGAAGGAAGTAGGAAAACAGAAAGTGAGAGTGGGTGTATAGAAGTTCTATGCAATGACATCCGTTGATTTTTCTTGAGCAGAAAACTAAAAGATCAACAAATCAACAACATTGAAGAGGGAGGTGAAGGAAGGGGAGGAGGGGGACAAATTGAATAGATGAGACAAGAAAGAGAATTAGAAAGGTGAAATATTTTAATTCTCGCGCCCATGATCTCATCCAAGAACACGAGAATGACGGTGTTGCTATGAAGGATAAGAAAGCTTTATAAGAGCTAATCTCATGTTTTCAAATATTTTCTCTCCATTTTGCTTTCAAAGTTTGATGAAGGGAAAAAACCTAACAAACACAAAATCACCAAATGAATCTGAAGAAAACTAAAAGAGCTGACAAATATTCGGCTGGTATGCGTGTGTGTTGACTAGAAATGGGAAAATCAAGCTTATTACTAGCATATGTTAGCTAAAAGTGTGTTACTGGGGCTATATAATTAGAATTATTCGAAAATGTGCTGACAGGGAGGTAAAGCAGAAGAGAGAGAGAGATAGAGAGAGGTGAGAAAGAATGGAGAGGGAGAGGGATGAGCAACGAACGTTACAACTCTAAACATTAATTCAAAGAATCAAAAACTGGTACAAATGGTTGGTTAAAAGTTAAAGAACAGTTTGAACGAGCTCCGTTTAGAAGAAGACATAAAAGATGAGGAAAAGAAGGAGGGGAAGGGGAAGAGGAGGCTAAAGGACACACGGGACGAGACAAAAGGATAATTAGGCAAGAGATAAAGAAAAATGAGTAAAAAATAAAAATAAAAAAAAAAGAATGAGAAACGAGAAGAACAACTGAATGAGCAAAAGATGAAATTGGAAGAAGAGATAAAGAGCTCAGCAGAATGCATAAGAAAGAGCGTGAAAGATAGAGAAAGGGGAGCCCAGGGATACTGGGCGACCCACACACGACAAAACCGATGGATGAAGGAGCCATACAAGCTAGTGGAAGCTAAAAAGGGCGAGAAAAAATAGGAAAGGAGTCGGCGGCCAATTCAATGACGATCTATATCTCCATCCTTTTTTTTTCCATTTCTAGCTCTCCACATTCTCATCTACTCTTGTTTGTGTCTAAGTCAAAGCGTCTGCAGTCTGACATGCTTAGACTTGAATATCCGT